GTATCAGAGTGACGTCGTAGAGTAAGTGGCTGAGCCAATAATGTTGGCCGCAACCGTCGGTCAGCACTCGTCTAAGGCTGAAACATGAATGCTTCAAGAGATCCATTTGTGCGTCAAGAGCTTCGATTTTGAAACGATATCGCAAACGAAATGGCTGAGCCACGGCATAGATTTTTCTGGTCTGCCTCAATATTGCCCAGGTCCTTCACGACAAGAAGAAGAGCATCTCGGCATGTCCAACAAAGGCCCACGAGTCTCGAAATTGAGGCGAGCTCTGTGCGGCGAATTTGCAAGCCTTCTTCCAGTGATGCGGAGGTGGTTGAGGCAAATGGATGTTTTGGCAGGTCCAGCTGATTCCCAAACGTCTCGAGAGCGAGGCGACCTCTATTCCGCGAGATTGCACGCCTTCTTTCAGCTATGCAGAGACAGCTGAGGCGACGCTCACTCACCTATAGAAGAACATTTGCGTCCCCTAGGTTTCAATCTTTCTCTTCAGGCTCCTCAACATCTTTCACTCATCCAGCAGACTCACCAGCAGCAAACCCTCAATCACCGGAAGTAAGTATTAGGAGCTCTCTTGAGAGAGGGAGATAACGTGCTGACGTTTCCTTACGAGGTTCAGATCAGACTTCGCTCCAGTCATCCTAAATCACACTCGAAAGCATGGATAACTACGGAACACCAGAGAAGAAGATAACCTTGAGCCGTTCAGAGCTGCAAGCTATCTATACTCTTGTCCAGCGTACAGAAGTATATCAGATGCGTGCTGAGTCGATCCAGAGACCGATTGCCGAATGGTGCGGCAAGCGGGATTTGGACGTCATAGAGCTTGTGGAGAAGTTCAAACGGCCCAATGATGGTATGTATCTTCGGAGTCCATCTTTCCTCCTTTGCACCAAATGTTGAGTCTTGAAACATGTCTTGGGAGTCTCTACTCTGTAGACAAGTTCCAAGGCTCCACGCAACGCCTCGAATCGGCAATACTGACTCCGAGAAAAGCATTGACAACAGAAGTTCGCGACAGCCTCGAAAACAATGTCGTAGCCAAAGCACGAGCAACATACTCCGCTCAACGTTTATGGGCCACCGCCGCACCTTCTGCGTACGTTGTTCGGTTCTCTTCATGTAGGAAAGACAACTAAACAATGGCAATTCAGTCCAGGGTCATACCCTGTTGCACCCTTGGCAGGCCCCGAATTCGCAATCCAAGCCCCCCAGGAGCTCCGACTACCCGCGAGTCCACCCTCTACACCCTGATCTCATGGATGGTTGATGGCGCTGGGTCTCGCGGCTCAGGCGATGAGGCGTTCAGGTCATGTGCGGTCGCCCCACTTAATGTTCAATGTGGGTTGGAGTCAGCTAGATGTTGTTCGGGACGGAATGATTGTGAATTAGGGGCTAGGCAGTTTGGGAATCTAGTCGAGTGAATGCAATAAATAATGAATGAAGTCAGACAAGTTCAAGTTCAAAGACGAAGTGAAGCTTCAAGTACTATAGTAACACGTGAAAACCCAGGAATGGGGGGTCAAAAGCGCCGCCTTCAGGGGTAAACGCCGCTAAGATCTCGCGCATCTTCGAGGATTGGCGCTAGCAAAGGCAGAACGTCATGATAGCCGCCGATGCTTTAATGCATGGTGCTCGTCAAAAAGAAAGATTTTGATTCGTCGCTTTTTCAGTACCGTCGTCTTCATAGATCTGTGCTTGTTTTACTTGAAATCTGTATGACTCTACGCCATCTTTCAGCGACTGCGCCATTCCAATTGTGCATCAAAGCCGTAGTCCTACCTTTCAAACCCTCACGCCAATCACTTCCAATATCTCAACAACGATTCTACAAGACTTCAGCCATATACAGGATGGTCCCCTCTCAAGTTGCCGCAAATTGCGCCAAGCGAAAAGCACATGGCGTTGAGGACAGTCCCAGCAAGAAGGCGAAGAGTGATATTCCGGGCTACAACGACTCGCCACAAGAGGAATACGACATTGTTGACCGCCAATTCTATCCTCCGGAAATGGAAAACGAGCGATGCAAGCAGTACAACACGAGTGCAATTGAACGTCCAATCGAGACCTTCGAAGAGGCCCAGAGAGAAACTCAGTCCGAGCGGGACAAGACCCGAGTCAAAGACGCTGTAGTGCATTGGTTCAAGTGCGATTTACGGATCACAGACAACAAGGCCTTGCATTTGGCGTCGGCAAAGGCGAAGAGCAGGAGCGTGCCGTTGATATGCATACATATTGTATCACCGCAAGACTACAAGGCGCATGTGACCAGCGCTGTGCGTGTGGACTTCGTCCTCAGGACACTAGAGGTTCTCAAGGAGGATCTAGCGCAATTAGATATACCGCTGTATGTCGAGACAGTGGCAAAGCGCAAAGCGATACCAAATCGCATCTTCGAATTATGTGAAAAATGGGGCGCGAGCCATCTCTACACGAATATCGAGTATGAAGTCGACGAACTGCGACGGGAAGCATTGATGACCAGAACTGGGGTGAGTAACGGCGTTGCAGTACATGCAGTCCCGGACACATGCGTGGTTGCTCCTGGTGAGCTCTCGAGCGGTACCGGAAACCAGTATTCGGTGTACTCTCCATGGTTCCGCGCCTGGCTTGCATATCTGCACACGCATCCTCATCAGCTCGACCTTTTCGATCCTCCGAACAAGAACCCCGAGGATGCTCGAAGAAATTTCAAGGATTTGTTCGAGTGCGAGATACCGGAGGCGCCAGAGAATAAAAAGCTCACTGATGAAGAGAAGAAACGTTTTCGAAGCATGTGGCCGCCTGGCGAGCATGAGGCACGAGAGCGGTTGGGTAAGTTTCTCTCGGAGAAAGTTCACCATTACGCAGACGCGAGGAACATTCCTGCAGGTAACAGTACAGCAATAGTCAGTGTTCACCTCTCTTCTGGGACGCTCAGTGCAAGGACTGCGATAGCCGCTGCGAGGGATGCCAATAGCACCAAGAAGCTTGACGGAGGTGAAAAGGGTATTGTTGGGTGGATTTCAGAGGTGGCTTGGAGAGATTTTTATAAGCATGTCCTTGCCCACTGGCCATACGTGTGCATGAACAAGCCCTTCAAGCCCGAGTATACCAACATCCAATGGGAGTACAACAACGAGCTCTTCCAGAAGTGGTGCACCGGAATGACAGGCTATCCTTTTATCGACGCTGCCATGCGCCAATTGAACCATACTGGCTACATGCACAATCGTGCCCGTATGGCCGTTGCCTCGTTCCTTGCAAAGGACCTGCTCATTGACTGGCGCATGGGCGAGCGATATTTCATGGAACATCTCATCGACGGTGACTTCGCTTCAAATAACGGCGGATGGGGCTTCAGTGCCTCAACCGGGGTAGATCCGCAACCGTATTTCAGGATCTTCAATCCCCTGTTGCAGAGTGAAAGATTTGATGCTGACGGGGAATACATCAGAAAATGGGTCAAGGAGTTGGAAGGGATAGAAGGGAAGGCGATACATGACCCTTATGGCAGAAAGGCAACGAAGGCAGCAGAGAAAGCAGGGTATCCTAAGATGTGCGTCGATCATAAGGAGAGTAGGGAGAGGTGTCTGAAGAGGTATAAGGAAGGATTGGGGAGAGACACGGCTTGACAGATTGGGAGCCAAATGCTGCCCAAATCATGGATGCTATTTGCTATACCACTGTCCATTTATGAGACTTGATACCAGTGTACAAATATTGTTCTCTCTACCAGCCTAGGAATTTCTCGTTCAAAACATCCATATCCTTGAGCATTAATATGATTGTCCCGCCCGTATCTGTGATAGGACTTGTGAGCTTAAAGACCCTATCTCTTCATAGGCGAGCTTGCATTGCAAATGTCATCTACGGCCTGTAAAATCTTTCTCTTGACTCAAGGGGAAAATGAGAAAGGAGAGAAGAGGAGACGATCCCACGAGGTGGGTTCGTGCTGCCTGCGATGGATGGCCGATTAGGGTGCGGAGAAAATGATTTGAAGCAGAGACAGGGAATTGCATTGGAAGGCAGGGCATGAATTTTGAATGGAATGGAGGAGTCCGCTAATGACACGTTCATTGATGCGGAACTTTTCGATGGACGGTTTTGGGCGTTCGAAGCTTGTTGTTGCTTGCCTGGTCTATCTGACCCTCCTCATGGCACGATGAACCATCACACATCCCCATCGAACCATCCATTCGTTCAGTCAGTCATTCCACAACACTAACCTATCAAACCGTCAGCCAATTCCCCCCTCCAACCCATGAATCCTCACACTCACCTCCCCGCCCCTCCCATTCCTTCAGACACGCCTCTACCGCTGCGAACTTCCAGTCCACACGTTCTTCACCAGCCCATCCCTCTGCGCCAGCCGGTTCAAACTGTCATCGCCCTCGCCCATGGCCCTTACGAACCCACACAGCGCGTAGACTTGGTTTTCCCCCGTGTAGCGCCCGTTCTCGTCGACCTTGCCGACGGAGATTTGCACGGACGCGTGGTCTTTGGCTTTGATGATGCGGTTGGTCGCGGAGCATTTGCGGGGGACGTAACTGGTTTGTGAAAGGGGGGGGTTTTGTTAGCTGGTGTGGTCCTGAGGGATGGGGCGGGGAGAGAGGTGGAGATTTGGGAACGGGTGAGGAGGAAAGAGAGGGTGGACGTACAGGTCGACGAGCTCGCCTTTGTCGTTTTCCATGGTTGCCGTAGATTTGGGGGTTGCGGGGAGAGAAGTTTTGTGGTTGCGAGTGCTTTGATCGAGGCGTACATTTGTCGACGGAAGGGTTTGGTGCGTGGTCTCGCTTAGCGTCTTGGCGGCTTGCTCAGCCTTACAGATAGAGAAGTGACATCCGAGCACCAGGCAATTTCTCCATCTTCCACACTCTGGAATGATAAGATACATTGAGTCTATCTACCAGGTATCGGATTCCTATCTACACCGCGTAGTTTCATTACATCCGCTACCATCTCAGGTCCTCCAGCTTCGCAATGCAGCCGCAAAACTCCACAGTCTGTGCCTTTTTTCACCACATTGAGCCAACCACCGCTTCTCGTATGCGGAACTACCCTTGCCTAAGTATCTCTTCACCAGGATGTGGCATACCTCCCCCTCCTTATAGGTTTCGAATGTCGTGTGACATTCTTTACATCTCTCGGTTATGCAGCCACGATACCCTTCCTCATAGGCCTCCACAGGGTCCCGGGCCATACGACTTGAATCGCAAAGTTTATAAAGTTTTGCGGCGATCCTAGAATCACTCATCTTCGTGTGCTGGCAGAGGCGTATGTCCAATATGTCTAAGAACCTTTGAAAGTCGGAAACGGAACTCGCAACATCCATGTGGTCGTCGAAACTCATCGTCCAGTGGACGCATAACAAGAGACCGTCGTAACTTCCTTCATAGCCCCGCTGGTATTTGTAAAAGCTGTTCGCTTTGAGAGAGCTAAAGCGATTTGGATGTGGCTTGCACAGGTGATTTCCCACCACTGACGACACATGGTAGGGACCAAAGCCGTTAGTAAATCCATCAACCTTGTCTCCGCTGTACCTGAAGTATGGCAGGTGGACAATCCGCTTCATGCGTTCGAATGTTAGTGTTTCATGAGGGCAAATCTGGACGCAGCTGGTCTTGATATCGAGTTTGTTGCGGCCCTTTTCTTCGGCACTCGAGGGTTTCTTATAGATATCAGTATCAGAACCCTCAGTCACAAGTGTCTCTGAACTTTTGGAGCTCTGGGTTGGAGGGGGAAGCCTCTCATCGTCTGTGCGCTGTGGAGTTTTGTCAAACAATTTTCTGTGCAGTGTTGGGGCCATTTTGTGACCGAAGGTGCACCAGGCTCTCTCGTCAGGGAATTTTGTTCGGAGGTTGAAGTGAAGCGTAAGGGAAAGCCCCTTCTTCTCCACCCTTGAAACTGCAATTATTTTAATCCATTATTTTGCTTCTCTCGAATGTTCTTGGCAAGTATGACTCCCCAGCATGAACCACCGACTCCTCCTGCACAGAGTCATAGGCAGAGTCTGTGCTAAAGTGTCATTTTCCGCTCTTCTATATATATACAATATTTAGTGATAGGCTTCGTGTCGAACCTTTTGCGTCGAGTTCCACGTCTTTCTCTCACAGCGCAGTCAAACAGGTTTCCTAGTCGCTACATTGAGCGAGCCACTGCTTGTCATCCACAGTTTCAATTGTACCCAGAGATCTGAACGTCTCTACTCGACATTTCTTGTCATCCCTTCCCGATACCCAGAAATCAGTGCCGCATTGATCGCACCCTTTAATTTTCATTGACGCAATCTCGAATTTCTCGATCGGATCTGTCGGTGGCTTCAAGGAGTAGAAGGTTTTGAAGGCTATCTCCTCGTCGCTCAAATTTTTATGCGGACATAGAGAAATGTCGCAAGAGTCCAAGAATTGCTGGAGACATTCCACTGACTTCAAAAGCTCTGGGTGGGCCTTGAAGCTCAATTGCCACCGGATGTTCAATACAAGGCCCTTTTCGAAACCATAGTCGCTGGTTGCTTGAAGGACATCATAGCCGCTGGGATCTTGTTTACAGAGCCGGGGATGTTTACGACGTCCAAACTCGCCTCCGGATAGCTCGCTATGGTGGAGCTGCGGAGCTGACGTGAATGCATCCATGGTTGGGTGGATGTCTCCCTGGCCGTACAAGGAGAGAATCCGTTGTGCACGCTTGAAGGACAGAGTTTCGTGAGGGCACAGTCGTACATAATTATCCGCTGATGGCGTGGTTGCGGGTCTCCTTTCGTCCGTTTCCTCACTCGGACCACGTTCAGATGTCGCTCGTTGCCCTTCGGGAAGGAGAGTCCATGAGCTTCGATTACTCTTACCCGAAGTTGATGCGCTCTTGGTTTCATCGGGCCGGAAGAAGAGCGCAAAAAGTCTCTTGAGCACCATGATAGCTGTGACACAACGTAAAGATGATGGGAGATAATTTGGAATTAAGGAGCAAAGGGAGTCACCAGCTTTCATAGCGTGGTGAGTAAGTTTTATCGCCTCTTATTCTCTCAACATGCCTTGGCATTGGGGCAATCTTTCGTCTTGCACCACTAACCTTGCTCGAAAGGCACAAGGTTGTGGGAGCATCCCTTCATGATGCGTTTGAGCTACCATACCGTATCAAGAGTGGGTCGCCGGTACAATGAATGGAGCAAGCCGCTCAGGATCCTCCGCATTTTCGGCTTTGCCCACGGACCCTGTGACAATCACAATAGGCCAACGCTCACCCTGGTCTACCACCTCAGACATCGTATCGCAATGTGAGCACCTCTCGTTTGGCACGAGGGGATTCTTGACTAGCCATTCGTGTATTGGATCTGTTGAACCCAACTCCGAATGCGTCACAGCACCCAGTCCATCCACTACGTGAGAGGCGCTATTGCTCCTATGACGGCAAGGCCAAATCTTCAGCTTATCGAAACGGTTGAAGAGATACTATTTGCTCCTACTGTCTTCAAGGACGTCAGAGCCCCTCCGAAAGATACGCAGCTCGAGAGCCCTCAAATCGTGTCTAGTGACGAGGTAACATTTGCAATATAGTTAACAGCGACTTTCAAGCCGAGAACGATGGGGCGAGGGTAACCAGGACGAGCGTGGCGCGCAGGTAGTCGATCCTAGAGCATTGTTGCCTGAGCGACTTTTCATGAACCCTGGGAGATTTGTGATGCGACTACTTCGCTCGAAAGACATGATCTCGTAGGGACACGGTTGTACGCATGCACCAGCGGGCAGAGGTTGAGTAATCTCCTCACTAGCATGGATGGGTACCTTGGACTCGCTGCTTGGGCTCGTAAGGGTTAGGGAGTTTGCTTGTGATGCCGTCGAGGCTGAGTTGTCTCTGCCTATGGCTCGGTTATGGAAACGTTGCGCAGATCATCTCCATGAGGCTGAAAGGCATGGTTCAAAAGTGGAATTCGTCTCGTGTAAGAAGATGCAGTGATCTTCGAGTATGAGCAGCTGCGTAAGAGAAGAAACCAGTTCAAGGTAATGTAATGGGTCTGATAATGTTGGGGTTGCTGAGTCGTTAGTACTACGTTCTGAATGTTCAAGTACACAAATCTGACGCTAGCACCGACATGGCTTCCTAAAGCGTGCCGTTTGTACCTCTTACTGCGGAAAATGCCTCATGATAGACGCCGTGTTCAAACTACTTTTGAATGTTACGCGGCTTCCAGACTGAGTTCAACTTCCTCGAGCGTCATGACACATGTTCAGTATTTGGGGCGAGCTTCTTCGTAGTTCTATTTGGACGGCACTGCTGGCCATAGCAGTCTCAGGTACAGGCCCTCCCACCTTCCGTGCTGCCACGATCAAATCAGACGTTCTATCCTGTCTTAACGAGCCAGCCATTGCGGGTCCTTGTCAGACCTTTCTTTGGCTACACGCCACACTGAGCGAGCCAATCTGGGTCATTCTCCGAGAACCCTGGCCCCAAGCGAAGAGTTACCTTGACCTGAGGACCGCCAAGACCACCTTTGCACACTGTGTCAGGGGTCTTGCAACGATCGCAGTCTTGACTGCGTTCAGCGAAGTCCGATATGCTGCTTGGCGGCTTCCCCCATTCGTCAATGGGATCTGATGGTTCCTCATGTGGATGTGCTATCTTGTAAATCATTTCGAGAATCCACGGATCATTCATCGTTCTGTGAGGGCAGAGCGGGACGTTCTCGAGTTTCTGTAAAGAAGCTTGGATATCATTCCGAGTCGTGCTAGGTTTGTATGAGTCGAGCATCCAGGTAGCGTGCAACTCTAAACCGATGACAGGGCCCGTCCATCCACGTTTATGTTTAGAATTGTACTTTAGTTTGAAGATGCCTGTAGGGCGGTGGGGAAAGCCATCGATGGGAAAGCAAACCCTCGGGCCGGATTTAGTGTGTTGCTGTATTTCATCCATGGCTCCAATGGCGTTTATGGCTTCCTTGCTGGACTTGAAACCCGGAAGTTTCAAGATGGTTTGTAGACGTTCGAAAGATAAGTTCTCGTGCGGGCATACTTTCACAAAGGTGTGGACAGCATGTGGTCCCAGATCGGTCTCTTTTTTTTCGGAACGATTGATGAGGTGTGAGGCGGCGACAGCATCTTCTGGATAGGTCTTGTCGGTGGCACCGGGGGCTCGAGCTACAACAGCCTTATCTTCACCCGACAGTCCAAAGGGGACGTCGTTTGGAACCTCGGCATGAGGTGGACTGGGAGACCGAACTGGAAAGCTGTCAGGGTTCACAAGTGTCATTGAGCTGCGCGAGGTTCCCTTTGACATTGTAGATGCGTTGTCGTCCTCGTCTTTTCCATTTTTTGTGGAAGCTAGGGAATATCTTTTTTGCTAGGTGGAAATGCATGGTTGGGAGGTCAAGAAATGGAGCACTGATGATGTGTTTTGAAGTCTAGAGGGAGTAGCGGGGCTTTTGTTGTTTTACATTTGGTCGTATGGTGACACAAGCCTGTCAAACCCCTTTAACACATTGCTTGGCGACTTCTTCGTGAGGCAACCAATTTGTCTGACTCTCACGTGACAACTGCAGTAACAATCTCTCCTCGTCCAGCGCTTTGAGCAAGCCACACTGAATTCTTCAGAGAGCGCAACAGTGCTGCTTCGAGAATCTCGGTACTTCTAGCCTCCTAGTACAAATGAAAGTCCTCGTCACGCATCAATCTCTTAGTACTGGTGCTCGCAATCCGGTCCAGTCCATCACTCTCGGAACACACGACCTCAAAGACTCTTCTGATTCTCCAGAGGACGGAAGTCAAAATATCTGCCTGACTCTTTCTTACCGTCGTACCAGATTAATGGACCGGAAGTAGCCTCCGGTACTTTCTTAGCTAATCTAAAAACTAGGATATTACGTGCACGTATCACCAGATAGAAGCCTCCCCTCATCCATATTGTAACCAGGCAAGGTAGACCCGAAGTCATGTTCGAGTTTCACGGTCATGGCTGTCACATGCACTTTCTAAAAACTAACCAAGCCGCTCATAGTACGGAGTATAATGTATACTTTGTCGAGATTGATGGCCAGTTGGAACCCTCTAAGTTTGAGGATACAGGTATGCCGTAGAGGGGCGTTGGTATCACTTGATGAAGCCAGCAATCCAGTTGACATGTCGTTCAATTCAACTTTGGACATGGCGAAATCAACGCAGATGTCGATCTTTTGGACAAGCATCACGGTGTTTGTGCTAACGGGAGTAGCTGTAACCGGCCAGGGAATTTTGTCGTAGGGTCCTTGATAATAGATGCGAAAGAAGGCCGATTGGTAGAAAATCTGGTAAGCTTCGCTGTAAACACGGCGAGACGCACAGAGGATGGTGGTATGGCCGGAGACAAGGGCGTGATGATGAACCAAGTTGACGAGCTCCCCAATTAGATCCACCAAACAGAGATTTGGTACGGCTGCCGGTTGTCTGACTGCCTTGACCATCATCGAGCTTGAATTGATAGCTGTGTTGTTACTGAGGCAGACAGTAGACGGCGGTCCGGAGATTTGACTGTTGCTGTGATCTGGTTTGTTTAGGAACGTCAAGTTTGTGCTGTTCAAATTGTTGACGTTACAAAAAGTGGCTGTTTGCATTATTGGCATATGAAGCCAATCCCTTTCGTTTACAAAGGCCTACTATTTCTTTATAATCATCGAGCTCTAGGCCATCTAGCGGACGACTTGACTGGGCGAAGTGTTGGCCACTTGTAGAAGACCTCACCCACTTCAATGATACACACTAGCCTTCTGAGCCAGCAATTGATTATGAAAATTGTCAGAATAGGCGTTGCCATTGGTCCATGTGTACTCGAGCACCTTGGTGGGAATTCAGAGACACGACACTTCTCAAGGGTTTCACTAAGTATCAGCTTATGTCAGAGCGATAGCCCTGAAGCAGCGACGAGTTTTTCTCCGGGCTGACTGTCCTTCAAAGCCGTACAAAAGGCTACCCGTTCCAGCAATTGAAAGCTTTGTACTATGCGGAGCACCGAGGGTATAAAGTATCGTCTTTCCTGACTTGTAGCCAGTAGTATAGAGAAAGCGGTCCAATTGCTGAAGTACCTTAGAGTAAAGGTACTTGATTATCAGGCAACCAAAGGTGTCGGGACTCGGTAGTGGCCAAACGTGCACTCGGGCCGGAATGGCCTCTTAGAACGAAGAACGCTAAGCAAAGAGTGGCGGAGTCTCTTGTCTATGATTGGCCTTGGTCGCTTTTGTATTTCCAAGGTTCAATTTGCGCCTAAGCATTTGCCCCAGGAAACCCTCGGAACAAAAAAAAGCGTTTTGGAATTCTTCAATGTAACCCAGTACCGTTTACTCAGAGACAACAACGACCCCCAAAGCCCCACTCACTCATCTGTTTGTCGCTGCTCCTCGGAGCATACATTCCTTACTCATATTCAGCAGGCCTCGGAAGAATTGCTGCAAAAGCTGCCAGCTAGTGATGCCATTCTTTGGCCTACAACATCAACACACCGGCTCTCTTCGATTAAGGCTTGTCCAATTTTGGCAGAGCAAATCAGAACCAGGTCGGCTCTGAGTGCAGAGTATGTGGATAAGGCGGATAAGGTGGGTGTGCTGCAGAAATCGGAGACAGTCTTCCCTGCACTTCATGAATTCGCCGTGTCTAGTCCAGAAGCTCACGATTTCCAGACGTCCATAGTGCATCTCTCCATCAATGTCGACATACTAGTGCTCCTCTCTGATCCCTCTCCTTATAACCTTCTCGACCTGTCCAGCGTTCAAGATGTTAGGAGCCTCATTTCTTCCCGCTCGTTTACGCCATGAGCACGATCAACCAGCGCCGTCGAATCCAGGCTACCTGAATCGGCAAATCACCCAAGTACTCCAGAGCGTCGCTCGTGCCGCCTTCACGCATCCTATGTACACCATATTCACCGTGGCGATATTGGCAAGCACATCATATCACGGTCTCCTGGAAGGCAGCCTCTTCGGCCATGCAAAAGTGGGTAAAGATATAGCTGGCACGGATCTTACGTCGCTCGTCGAGGGCGGTCGACGATTACGGCTCGGGGAAGAAACATCATGGAAATGGCAGTCCGAAAATGGAGCCTCCAGGGACCCAGTTGAGGTACGGTGAGCCTGTAACACTGTTGACTGGACTTCGCTCATCAAGCTTAGGGAGCCCATCACACGATGGTCATGACCTTGGTGTTTCCCGATTCTTTATCGAATTCTTCCCCTAGAACTGCACCATTGGCAGACCAGGTTTCCATACCTGCCAACAGCTCAGTGAGCACTCTGCCAACGACGTGGAACCCGCTATCTCCAATTTCGCAAGACACGACTCTAGCTTTCGCGGTCCCCGCCAATGAAGCATCAGACTTTTTGGCCACTGTTCAAGAGATACCACATAGACCAGAGTTGCAAGGAGAAGAGGGGGCTTATGACGGCGGTCCTACACAGAAGCCGAACGCATGGGTTGTTAAAGCCGCAAAAATGGGTCGTCAATCTGCCCAGGCTACGATAGGTGTTTCAGCTGCCAATACATGGACCAGTTTTGTAGACCTCATAAAGGTATGTTTAGTATCGCCAACAGTGGTTCTTCATGCTAAAAAAAACGTAGAACGCGGAGTCGTTAGACATCATTATTATGGTCATCGGGTACCTAGCTATGCATTTGACGTTTGTTTCACTTTTCATGTCGATGCGACATATGGGCTCGAACTTTTGGCTTGCAACTTCAGTATTGATCTCTTCTGTATTCGCATTCCTTTTCGGCCTCGGCATGACCAACCAGCTCGGGGTCCCTATCAACTTTGTATTGCTGTCGGAAGGCTTGCCGTTCCTTGTCGTCACTATCGGCTTTGAGAAGCCTATCATACTCACAAAAGCCGTTCTTTCAGCTTCAGGAAACTCGCGAGGGCAAGGCGTACGACAAGACTCGGATTTCTCTACAACCGCCAGCTCTTCGCAGACTATTCAATCGTCGCTTCAGGTAGCGGTACAGGAGAAAGGCTTCGCAATAATTCGAGACTACTGCGTAGAACTCGCCATTCTCATTGCTGGTTCTGCGTCGGGAGTGCAGGGTGGTTTGACACAATTCTGCTTTCTTGCTGCTTGGATATTGGTATTTGACTGTCTACTACTTTTTACGTTTTATACCGCTATACTCAGCGTGAAGTTGGAGATTAACCGCATCAAACGCCATGTGGCTCTAAGCAGAGCTTTGCAAGAAGACGGAATCAGCAAACGGGTAGCTGAGAACGTCGCCTTAAACGACGAATTAGCAAGTAATAGGATACAAAGTGTGGGATCCAACGGCAATGGTGTCAGCGACGTGTTCGGTAACGGTAAGAAGGCGCGCGACAGCAGTATCCCAAAGTTCAAGGTTATAATGGTCGGCGGATTCCTCTTCATCAACGCCTTGAATCTGGGCACCATGCCTTTTCGAGCACGCAGCAGGAAGGCAGCGCCTACATCTGTCTCCGGACTATCTAATGTGCTTACATCACCTTCCATGGATCCTTTCAAGGTAGCACAAAATGGGCTCGATCTCCTCTATAATGAGGCTGTGGACAACAACTACTCTATCACTGTCACCGTCCTACCGCCAATCAAGTATGACATTCAATCATCTCAATTGGATACGGACGTTGAGAATATCAGTGGCTCAATGTCTGACGGGGACTACACGGACCACTTTCTGGACTACGTCGTTGGAGGAAGGGTGGTCGGAGGGGTGCTTAATAGCCTGGAAGACCCAGTCGTGAGCAAGTGGATCATCGTTACATTGACTGTGAGCCTTGTACTCAATGGCTACCTGTTCAACGCCGCCCGTTGGAGCATTAAAGAACCTCGAGCTACCAAGGAAGTTGTCCGTGACGATCATGCCTTAGAAACATCTAAGCACAAGATTCTGCTGGGGCATGAAAGGCTACCGGCATTCGATAGAAGTTTGCCGAACGCCGACGGCCACGTTCCCAAGCCGAATGGATTCATCGACATTGAAGCTACTCAAGCCTCAGAATCTAGGGACCCCGTAGAATGTGAGCAGATGGTGAAAGACCGTCAAGCGGCTTATCTCAACGATCATGAACTGAATGATTTGACTGTGCGAGGCAAGATTCCAGGGTACGCCCTTGAGAAGACATTGGAGAATCTCGATGTTATGACAAGGCTTGCTTCTTTAACGCGAGCTGTCAAGATCCGGCGAACATTGGTATCAAGAACCCCTGCGACAGCAGAGAACTCCGGCCAATTGGAAAAATCGAAACTACCGTATCAAGAGTACAATTATGAGAATGTTCATGGCGCGTGCTGTGAGAACGTCATCGGATACATGCCGGTACCGGTTGGTGTTGCTGGGCCAATGGTCATTGACGGAAAGTCTTACTATTTGCCCATGGCAACCACCGAAGGGGTCCTCGTTGCTAGTACAAATCGAGGTTGCAAAGCTATTAATGCTGCTGGGGGGGCGATCACTGTTCTCACTGGCGATGGCATGACGAGAGGCCCTTGCGTTGGCTTCGAGACATTGAGCAGAGCGGGTGCTGCCAAGCTTTGGCTGGATTCCGAAGACGGTCAGAGAACGATGAAGAGAGCCTTCAACTCGACCAGCCGGTTTGCTCGTTTGCAGTCGATGAAGACAGCCCTAGCCGGTACCTACCTTTACATTAGATTCAAGACGACCACGGGTGATGCGATGGGAATGAATATGATCTCCAAAGGAGTCGAATGCGCCCTAGCCGTCATGAGGGAAGAGAGCGGATTCGATGATATGTCCATCATCTCCGTATCAGGGAACTATTGCACGGACAAAAAGCCAGCTGCCATCAACTGGATTGACGGTAGAGGCAAGAGCGTCGTTGCGGAGGCTATTATCCCTGGAGATGTCGTTCGAAGCGTCTTGAAGAGCGACGTCAATGCCCTTGTTGAATTGAATACGAGCAAGAATCTGATTGGAAGTGCCATGGCTGGTAGTATTGGGGGTTTCAATGCACATGCAGCAAATATTGTCACTGCGATTTTCTTGGCCACTGGTCAAGATCCTGCACAGAACGTGGAGAGCAGTAATTGTATTACGGTCATGCGAAAGTAAGTGGTCACTTTTGACGAATGTTAAGACTTGTCGCTAACAGTCAACAGCTATAACGGCAACCTTCAGATATCCGTCTCAATGCCCTCGATTGAAGTCGGAACCATCGGCGGCGGTACAGTCCTCGAGCCCCAGAGCGCTTGCCTCGACCTACTCGGCGTCAGAGGGGCTCATCCAACCCACCCTGGAGAAAACGCGCGGCGGCTAGCAAGAATCGTAGCCGCCAGTGTCCTTGCCGGAGAACTTAGTCTCTGCAGTGCTCTGGCGGCAGGTCATCTCGTCAGAGCACACATGGCACACAATAGGAGCCAAGCGCCAACAAGGTCGACCACGCCTATATCTGCTGTGGCGAGCGCGGCACCCAACAAAGCGCAAGCAGCGGAAGGGTTGTCAATGACTACGAATGCGCGAGGACCTGCTGCATCGAACCCTTCTACCCCCAGCAAAAGCGCGTCAGATGAAGGGTTAAGCATGACTGCCGCTACGCCTACATCTGGTGCCCTAAGTGCGGCCCCGGGCAAAGGACACAGAGTGGAGGGGTTAACGATGACACCCAAGGGTTGATGGTTGCGTCTGCAGACCGAAATCCCATTTCCGATTGTACTTATACCACCTGCGGACTTTGCGACGTTCGAATTTTCTTGTTCTCTTCTCGTACATGTGTTGCATTCATTTTGAGCTACAGCTTAGAAGGCTTGCCGTAAGTTGCTTGCATTAGCCACAACTTCATCAGTCGGCTAGCATGCGATCGATACACGAATACAAGACATAGAGAATCATTCAACATCGCCATACACGAAGAACAGTAGACTCGTAACAATACAATGTGGGAAGAAAGCTCACTGCCCTTCAACACGAGTGTGCCTTGCCTGGCTATGTTGTAGGTACTTTATTGTGAGCTGTTAGAGCAGCAGTGATGATGTAAGCAGCTCCGGTCCTCATCTCTGGAGAAGCCGAGAGGCCGAGAGCGCGTGAGATAGGAGTCCTTTTCACGCACATCATCCGTTCTCCTCCTTCACGCAGATTCTCCACATCATCTTCCATCAGGAGCCAGTCATGTCAGAGTGATAACATCCCCTATACCCCCACCGAGACTGTTATCAATCCAGCTGCAGCGGCCATTGCATTATTGCATTATTGCATTCTACAAGACGGAGACCGGCACATTCAGACTCTTGCCCAAAGAACAGTCCTGGACCCCGATCAGTACTCGTACTCTACATTGAACAAATCACTCGGCTTGCTACAAGCGTTGGGAAATATATATTCTGTCTTGGAGTTTCCTCTCCTGGACTTAGGGTCGTTTGCAAGGTCCAAGGAAGTAAAGGGAAGCCTCGCCACTCGCCGCATCATACTTAGTCTCATAGTCCCTTGGGGTCACAACTCACAACTCACAAATTCTGCGTAACCCAATTGCCCCACCAAATGGCGCTAAGGATTTCAACCCCACCATCTTCGTGGTTTTCTAACACCCCTCGATCCCTCACACGAACAACTCTCAATCAACCTTTCCACCACATCAGACCATCACATAGGACTTTCTCTACATCACCAGCAAACATGACGGTCAAAGTCTTCTTCGATGTCTCCTGGCAGGGACCTGTCCTTGATTCCAACTCACGTCCAACTAAGGAAATCAAAGGTGAGACAACACTGCTGCCCCGCCTTTTGCCATTGAATCAAATCCTTCAATCCTGCTGGCATCACTGCATTAGATCTATGCCTAACTCCATCACAGATCAAACTGGCCGTATCAATTTCAACCTCTACGACGATGTCACCCCCAAGACCGCGGAGAACTTCCGTGCCCTTTGCACTGGCGAGAAGGGCTTTGGCTACAGTGGCTCCAAGTTCCACCGTGTCATCCCCCAGTTCATGCTTCAAGGCGGCGACTTCACCCGTGGCAATGTGAGTCTCTACATCGCTGGCATCCTACAGGAATATGAAGACAGCTGACTTCTCCACCCAGGGCACTGGTGGCAAGTCTATCTACGGCGAGAAGTTCACGGATGAGAACTTCACTAAGAAGCACACCACTCCTGGTCTCTTGTCGATGGCGAACGCTGGTCCCAACACGTGAGCTCTCAATCTAGTTTCTATGCCATTTGGCAGTTGCTGACTTCCCCGCTTCGAACAGCAACGGATCTCAATTTTTCATCACCACCGTTGTCACCAGCTGGTTGGACAACAAGCACGTCGTCTTCGGTGAAGTCGCGGATTCGGAATCAATGAAGATTGTCAAGGCCATCGAGGCTACTGGCAGCACGTCCGGCACTACCCAATACACCAAGGAGCCTGTCATCACAAAGGCTGGTCAACAGTAAAGACATGGAAAAGCATAGTTGAGGCGGGTTTTGGCAATGTTATCAAGGCTTGAAAAAATCGACATCATCTGCTTCGGAACCGAGGTGGAATTACTGCAGACAAAAGCGAGCTCTAATATCAGGCAATAAAAGCACCTACACCACTCATGCATCAGTGCACACTTGCCTTGATTTACAAGTTTTTCTGCTATACTTTTGGTGTCAGCTAATCACACTTTCTAAAACCCTCTTTCCCTGCCTCCTGACCACCCCGTCCAAGATTTCCCTAACTTGCTTACACCCATCCACCCCAACCGCTAGCATCCCCTCCAACCGTCCCACCTGCACTCTACTCTCCAACACTAGTACGCTAACCCTCTCGCCAGCTCCTAACGTCCCCACCGTCAGCCACGGTAACTCTTGCTCTTCCATGCCATTTAGATCCAGCAGCGGGTCCGCGCTCTCAGTTCCTGATTTGGGGGGTGTGAGGCCAGACGTGCAGGCAACGATGTAATCACTCATTGGAACCCCTGCGTCGATCAGGGCGAGAGTTGCAGCGTTGAGACAGGCAGCGAGGAGGGAGCCGTCTTGCGAAAGGATGTGGAGACTGATTGTTATGGTGGAGTGAGGATATAGATGTGTGAAGAGAGTGCTCTGGAACGCTGAAGCAATTGTATTCTGCATCTCCGTCGTTCGCCTGTCACAGTCAGCCCTCACCTCAGTCTCCTACTCCCTCCCTTGCCCCTATGGCCAGGTCAACACGGACGAACACACTTATCGCCCCTCCCCTTTCCTCCTCCTCCTCCTCCTCTCCTCCTATCGACCCCACTAAACCCCGCTATGCCAATCTCCACCGTGACCACCGCATTGTCTCTCTCCGCACCCTCTCGCCTTGCTGCCCCGCGTACTTCTGCAGGGCCGGCTATCGTGCATATGACTTTCGTGTTGCCCATTTCCAGATAGGAGCTGCCGTCGGCGGAGGCTTGGGTCGAGATCTGGGCGTGCAGCCTGCGTAGTTCGTTCCAGCGCCGGCCATCGAGCCGGAGGAGCGCGAGGTGGTAGGTTGAGGTGTCCAGGGGCATTGCGGAAAGGTGTGCGTAGGAGGAGACGGGGGACGATATTCGTGGAGAGAAGGTGGTCGTGAAGCTGAGGAAAGAGTGGGATTCAACTACGAAAAATCATTGGCGCCCTAAAGTGTTGAACTTGCGGAGCTGTTGCGGAGTTTTGTGACGCGAACCTCACCCCACGTGGCTCTACACAATCTACACCACCAGCTATGGATGATATGAGAGCCGCGACCGACAGCGATGACGACCTTGACATCACACAGTCCGTGCGAAAAGATCTTGGTCATGAAGACTTCATCAAAAGTGCGCCTCTATCCCCCCACCCCATATTCTTCAGCTGTGAAATGACACCCTCTGGCCCCAGGAGTTGTAGGCACCCAGACCTCAGACGAATCCTCAGCGGCCGGAATCCATGATCACGCCGCTCCCACGCGCATGCGAGATGCGCTCCATGATGGTGAGAAGGTTGACTGGTCCGAAGACGACGACTCGGACGCGTACAAGACATTCAAGGCCCGCAAATCGGTCAAGCGCAAGGCAGCAGCTGCTAGTACTCGAAGGGCCAAAGCTGTCGAGAAAGAGAAAGACCTGGTCGGCAAGAAACAGAGGAGGATCACCAAGGACGGCAAAGTCAATGGGAAGGAGAAGCAGTGGGGTGACGAAACCGACGATGATCAGTTGATGGAATACACCTTGCCAGACTACCTGCAAACTAGGAGAGCTAGGTTCGATAGGAGAACTGAGAAACTGCAAGCAGCAGGGTTGAAATTACCCCCGAAGTACGATGACGTTGACTTCTCAGACGACGAGAGGCTGGAAGAATTGGCTGAGAGGCCTGACTTCCCTCGAGGGACGCCAGCGGCTCCGTACAAGGACAAGCAGCTGCCGAAGTCGTTGGGCCTGATACCGGCGCCTATCGCACAGTGGCTACGAGATTACCAGGTGGAGGGGACAGCGTTCTTGCATGCGCTGTTTGTGTATCAGACGGGTGGGATACTGGGAGATGATATGGGTCTTGGGAAGACGGTGCAAGTGATTGCGTTTCTGACCGCTGCGTTTGGGAAGACGGCGGATGAGAGGGATGCGAAGCGCATGCGGAAGATGAGGAGGGCGGACGCGCCGTGGTATCCGAAAGCTCTAGTGGTGTGTCCGGGAACGTTGATTGAGAACTGGAAGGACGAGTTGAAGAGGTGGGGTTGGTGGCATGTGGATGTCTACCATGGAGATACGAAAGAGGCGGCCCTGGAGGCTGCGGCGAAGGGGAGGCTGGAGATCATGATTACGACTTATACGACCTACAGGATGAACAAGAGCGCGATCAATATGGTCGAGTGGGATGTCGTTATTGCGGATGAGTGCCATCAGCTCAAGGGAAGGAGTTCGGAGACTACGCAGTCTATGAATGAGATCAATGCTTTGTGCAGGATCGGGCTTACAGGAACTGCTATTCAGAACTCGTACGATGAGTTGTGGACGCTGCTAAACTGGACGAATCCAGGCAAATTCGGACCGATATCAACGTGGAAGCAGAGCATCAGTATACCACTCAAGATGGGTCAGTCCCATGACGCAACAGTCCATCAGCTGAGCAAAGCTCGCAAAACTGCCAAAGCTCTAGTTGAAAATCTGCTGCCTCAATTCTTCTTACGTCGAATGAAGACATTGATAGCAGACCAACTCCCCAAGAAAAGCGATCGAGTCGTTTTCTGTCCCCTCACAGAAACCCAGGCCGACGCCTACGAAAGGTGCATCGACAGCGACGTCGTCCGCTATGTCAAGGAATCCACTCTCGACTGCAACTGCGGCTCCGGCAAGAAGCAAGGCTGGTGCTGCCAGCAATTCCTCCCTGACGGTGGAAAATGGCAATCCTACGTTTTCCCAGCCATCGCCCATCTCCAAAAGCTTTCTAACCACCTCGCAATTCTCATCCCGCAGTCCGACGATCCAAAAGAAAAACGAGACAAAGATCTGGAAATGCTCCAGGTCGCCGTCCCCGACCAGTGGCGCAAGCTCTACCGCAACCCCGATTCCATCCTCAACTACTCCAATCCCGAATTCTGCGGTAAATGGAAAATCCTCAAAAAACTTCTGCGCTTCTGGCACGGCAACGGCGACAAAGTACTGGTCTTCAGCCACAGCGTGCGTCTGCTGAAGATGCTGCGAATGCTCTTCCAACACACCACTTATAACGTCT